AAATTTCAAAATTACTATATAAGCAACCCCTTAAGCCCCCCTCCTGGGTTGCACAAACTCACTTTTCCCCATTTTGGAAACACATTAAATCGCCTACGCTTGCAGTCGGAAAGCGCACGTTAAATCTCCAATATAAGTAAGTAAGTAAGGGCATGACCGAATTGAGAAGGCTGGGTAATGGGTGGTCAGAAGCGGAGGAGGTTTGTCTAATCCAGGAAGTTGTTCAACGAGAGCAACTGTTGTTCCGCCTCGCTTGTCGCGTCTGTCGCAGGTGAGCTGCCATTGTTGTTGTCGAACTCAGCATTTAGCACGGTCCAAAGCGTACTTGAGATCGTACGTATTTCATGCTCAAGTTGAGCACGAAAACGTACTCAGATTATTTATAACCTGCGTTTATTGAGTCTGAGTTTTGAGTTGAGCACGAAACCGGATTTGAGCATAAAATCGTACTCAGGGAAGTTTTATAATCTCGGGGCATCGAGGTCATGTTTTCATTTTTGTTCAACTTCCTGTAACCTGTTTTTAAGATTTGATTTATCCCAAGTGTTGTTTGTAAATTTGTTCAGAGAATGAAACTATGTTGACATATTTCTAGATTATGTATGTTGTATATATTCAACTACTCTCCCTAGATTTACTTTGTACTTATTGTATTTATTTATACGCTTTGATACATCTAATTGATAGTATTTATTAACTTAAAGACCAATCCAATTAACTTTTGTAGTCTATATATTGTATTGTCATTATAACCTTGTGCCATATTGCAATCACCTTGCCTCTACCAAATCATGTCATCAACTACCCCCCCCCCCCCCCCCCCCCCCCCCCCCCTACATCCCTTCACACAGACTCCATTTTCACAACACCTATACATTCAGACACCCATTTCCCGGGACTCACACCCAGCCACAACCAAAACCCTGACCCCTTTGATTTCGGAATGGACTTCCAAGAATTTTCTTTCAAACAACCCCACAGCAGCATCACCTCCCCTTGCAATCAACCCCAAATTCCCCCTCACCCAATCCAAACACAATCTAACAAAAACAAAACAGCCCCCAAACCCCCATCTCCAAAACCCACAAAGCGACCACACCAATCCCCAACAGACTCCTCACTTACAACAAAGAAAACATGTGCCAAACAGACACCCCCATCCACCTCAACATCTGACCAGACTTCAGCACCAAATCAAAACAAACTTATACTACTGGCATTCTCAACCAACACCACTAAATGACACCTTCTCAAACAATAAGTTCGCCCTCTGCCTGCAAAAAGCACATATATCATACAAATACATAAACAGATGCGGCAGGGGGTTTAAGGTCACTTTTCCCTCACAAGACACTCTCAACCAAGCACGCAGACAAACAATGATAGATGGTCTAAACATAACATGGCAAACACCAAAATGGCTCACATCTATACAAGGGGTTATTTACATAGACCATAGGGACACACAGGAAGACATACTAGAGTACATTCACACAGCAAATCAACTCCACACACAGCCTCAAATTACAGATTACAAGAGCATTAATAACAGAACAACCATACCAGGCAAAACCACAACACAAACTATTTTCCTTACCTTCAAAAGCACCACACTACCCACACACATAATTTTCGGAGCACTCAGATACAAAATTAACCGAATAAGGAAAAAAAACCCACAATGCAACATATGCCACTCATACAACCATACTACAGCCACCTGCCGACAACCGCCCATGTGCCAGAAATGTGGGTCCCTCAGGCATGAAACCCCAGAGTGCACATGGGCGGCCTACTGTATACAATGTGATGCCGAAGGTCATACAGCCAAACAAAATACTTGCCCACTTAAACAAAAACACATCCTTCGGCTAAACAAACACATCAAACAAGAACACCTACCCAAACCGGCCAGACTAATACAAACATACAATAGCCTTCCAGATTATGAAGATATATCAGACACATCATCCTCCACATCACTACCTGCCCCTATACCCCCCACCCAGACCCGGCCCACCCAGTCCAAACGTAAACAACTCTTTTCCACTCCAGTCCCAACCCCCAAGGCCCCCCTCCACCCAATAAACACCATCCCACCCACCCACCCAGTAAACACTGTCCCACCCCACACAGACAACTCAACTCATGCATGCCCCCCTCCAGCAGTACCCCCACCCACAAGACACATGACCCTTCCCAAGGCCACCACCCCCCTGCTACCTACCCCTACCCACCCCCTATTATGCTACCCCCCCCCCCCCCCCCCCCCCCGTCCATCCCACCTCGCCCCCAATCCAACTCCCAACCCAACCAGAGCCCCCTTCACACATTCTTCAGATCTGCTATACCAATTCTAGCCACTCAACTACAACCCAAATCCAAAACACACAAAGCCAAAGCACATCTATCTAGAAAACCACTACTCGCTCAGAAAATCCAATCATTAAGGTCAACTACCCCCAAACCAATCACCCCACACAAACTACATTCCAATACAAACAAGATCATAGAGTTCCTGTCAGCAGCTCTCCTTATCAAAAACCCCACCCCCAAAAAATCCACAACTTAGCCTTGGTGTCTAACCTATACCAAAAACCCTATCAACACTTCCAAACTGCCATAAAAGCTCTCAAATAATAAACTAAATCAGTCCCAAAACCCCTCTTCCAAATCAGCCCCACAGCACCATGCATTTGGCCTTAACATCCCCACAAATTTATAAAGCAGAACATGGTGTTTTTACAGTGGAACTGTAATGGTCTCAACACTAATGGGCATGAACTAAGGCCCTCATCGCCCTAAACAAAATTGCCCAATATGTAATAGCAGTACAAGAAACAAAGTTATCCCCCCAAAAAGCCTTCAAATTGCCAGGCTATACTTTTATTCGGCAAGATATAGCCAGACCTCCCAACAAACCTGGCCCCCTTCATGGAGGACTAGGTCTGTTTATAAAAAACACCATCCAGTACAAAGAATTAACTATCCCCACTCCTAATCTAGAAGTCCTGGCGGCTAATATCACTATCAATGACACTAAATTAACTGTAATCAACTGTTACCACACCAAAACCAAACCGTTTAACCCTGAAGATTTAGAAACTCTTTCCAAATTCATAGGCCCAAACACCCTCATTCTAGGAGACTTTAATGCACATCACCCACTGTGGGGCACTAAAAAATATCATGATAAATTTGGGAAATTCATTTAAGAATGGTTAGACACCAAATATATCATATGCTTAAACGATAATAGAGCCACTAGATTCCCTACCAGCCATCTACAATCACCCACAGCAGTGGACTTATCCATCACCACCACCCAACTCTTCCAAAAACTCACCTGGGACCCCCACAATGATACATGGGGTAGTGATCATTTCCTCATAAAAATCTCTATTACCATCCTCCCCGACAAGTCTCCATCTGACCCCAACCCCACTTCTGACTGTTCTAAACAAACTAAATTCAACTTTACTAAAGCTGACTGACAGGAATTCACCACATTATGCAATAAAATAGACACACATAACATACACAGTGCTGATATCGACATCTTCAATACAAACCTCAGCAATACACTATACAACATATCCATTAAATGCATTCCCACAACCAAAATAAATCCCACACAAAATACAGATCTAGAAAACTTAGGAAAAAAGCTCTGAATAAGTCGAAACATGATCAAACTAAACTCCATTTGGCCAATAAACAAAGAAATCTTACCAAAGAACTAATCAAGGCAGCCAAAAGAAACCATTGGCAAACTTTTACATCAACCTTGAGGATGGGCAAACAAAATTCAAAAATTCTGTGGAAAAAAACTGAAAGCAATAAAAGGCAATGCCAAATCTTTCAACTCGCCCAACTTTCCCCTACTTAAAACAGACAAAGAAAAGGCTAATGCCATGGCTGCCCATCTCTCGGCCGTCAGCAGCTCCGCCAACCACTCCAAACACATACAAGACACTATAAACACTCAACCTGAATTTCATAACAGATCACCACTCTCACATCTTGCCATAAATAAACTCATTAACATTCACGAACTTCAAACCGTTTTAAAAAACAAAAACACAGCCCCAGCCACTGGATTAGACAATATAAGCTATAAAATTCTCAATCATGTCCCCATCAAAATTCAAAAACTAATACTTCAACTATACAATCAAATTTGGACTACCTCCCCAAAACATGGAAAAATGCATTAGTGGTGCCAATTCTAAAACCAGGGAAATTAATGGATGGGAGGTCAGACTCAACTGAACGGATCACACAGTCAAGTGAGCGGTTTCCAGAATTATATATAAACTGCAGTGTGGAACTGACAATCTACATTTTTCCACAGTTTTTAAACAAACGCATTTTGCGAAAATAAATTTAAATACTCGGGTTTATATTGATCGAAGTACCCATATCCTGAGGTGCATTCTGATTCACGCGCACCATTTCGACGCATGGCTGCCTTCGAGAGTGGAACGAGCCTTGTTATAGGTTCAGGAAACATGCGAGTGGTGACGAATGATACGGAGCGTGTGATATCAGCACTTTCACTTTGATATTCAAATACTTTCTACGAATGTTATTTTTTCTCTCTCTCGGAAACTGACTTATGTATATAGGTAAATTTATATTCGTAACAAAATCGCAATCAATATACGTTCACGTTACTTCCCCTTCAATGAAACACTACAAGTGACGCTTACCTCGTTTTGACGTCTACCCTTCTCGACTTCAGTCTGCCGTTTTAGTCATGCGCAATTGATAATAAGATACCATGTCGAATGTTCGAATTTTGATTTGGGGTCAAATGGTATACCTTTAAAAACATGTACAAAACAGACAAGGTAAATTTAAGACAACAATATTATGGTCTTGAATAATTATGGTCACAGTGTTTAGTGATGTGTAAATAACCGATTGTCAAATCTTGTTTACTAAAATTCAAACACATGCACCCCTAATAGAATAATAGAATGCCCCATTATATAAGAGTGATTCTATTTTCGGTCTCCGTGTCGACACTCCCGGGAACACGTACGGTGACACAGGACAACTGACTAAGGTAAAATTTTAATGTCAATTCACCATTTCGCCTTTTGTGTGTGTGGATGTTTCAAGTATATGCGAAATGGTTTGATAAACGTGCTTACATTATCTGACACAGTTAACTCGTACCAGTGATCATTAAATATCGTCTCTGGTCATCAGAGACTATATGATGGAGGAACGGCCCTCAAGCCTGTGCACGAAACCGTCATGATCAGCGATACGGCTTGTGCTGCGCAGCCTATCCCGGAGCAAGCGGAAACGCTTGGAAATCATGATACTGACGTGAACAGATTTGTATTTCATATAGGCCTACATTCATTTATCTTTTTACAATGAAAACATTCCATCTTGATAAACAGCAATCAGTTTGCAAATTAATTAAACGTCAAGCACCCTTCCCCGAAGTATACTCGGACCCCGTGGTACCGCGGCATTCATCGTATCGCGGCAATTGTGATTTCCGGTAGTTCATGCGGGACACACCTCTTAGCAGCTGTCTGTTAAAGCAAATCAGTAACCAGGAAGTGCATACTTTGGAAACAATTTCAATTTCCTCGGAATGTTCCGTCTGCTGTAAGTAAGGAGTTATTAATGCGTTGATACTTACTTCTTGCATCGTTTTAAATATTGCCTTACCCCCATCTATCAATGGCCAACGATATAACCCGCACTTCCCCAAGTAAACTTTCTCTATTGACCTGAACTAGATTATCTGCATATTCATGGCGACTAGTAAGGTAACGGAAATTACATAGTCCGCACATTTTTTCCCGCTCTGTGCCCAGAATCTAGTCGGAGATCACAAGGGCCATAATGACAAACTTTGAACTAGGTTCTTCACAAGTGGCCAAAAGATAAATCCATACTTTGTGTTACGTGAATGAGTCATTGCTGGGCCTTAACTGAGTATTATAGGGCGCTTCAATCAATATCATGCTCATATCACATGTGATGTTCTGTAAGTAAAATCAGAGAGTTACTTCCCCCTGAATACTGAGTTGTTTATTGAAGTAAGTGACATAAAAGTGCTTAAAAACCACACGAAACACTTTGGGCATACTAGGAGTGCTTTTTATATATTCATTGTTGACTTTAAACATTTTTCCATTTTGTGACAAATTATTGTCATCCAATCTTTTTTAAAACAATCGTAGAATATCCTTTCTGATATTTTGTTGTTGATTTTTAACATATTTTTCTTTAACTTTTCGGTAAATATGCATCAAAACCTATTAGTGATAACACATTTAGAATGTTACTTGTGCTGTCTTTGCACTTGTCTGGACAAATCACTGATGTCTGGCATGATCAAACTAAGTGGTTGGTAGAATTATGTCCTATTTTTGTCCAATTAGGACCCCAATACACAACTCTTCTCTGTACCGCGATACGATGGAGTTCTCTCTCTTGTCAAACTGAGCGCCAAGCTCCTTCCCAGCCAGCGCGTGACACCTTCGTTACACTCTCGGACTGTCGCTGTGAGGATCTTGACTGAGCGCGGGGCCCGGCTTTTACTCGGAGCTTCTAATGTAAATAATTGCACTTTTATCAGTAAAATATGCATTGTTAGATAAAATAAATGACATCTGATATAGAATAACGAATAATCATAAAGGTTAGTGAGTACATTTTGTTCCGTTTAGCGTACATGACAAGTACCGCGAGTAGAGGAAAAGTTAGTAGTTCATGACAACAATAGCGTTTGCCTCCCAATTTCAAAGGAAAGCGATGAAGTGGACAATGGAGGGGGGTACTTGAATGTGCGTTAGACCGTTGAATCCTCCCTAAAGATGTGGTAACAATGGGGACAAAGGATGGTATTGATACAAGTGGAGTGAAGTGTTGACACAGGTGCTCGTCGTCTGCTAGCGGTTTCCCGTTCGTCGTCTGCTAGCGGTTCCCCCCGTCTTCAACGGGGTAGATGCGAATAAGAAAAAAGTTCGTCTGCCTTAATAGTCGTCTGCTGGTTTGTTAGTGACAGTTGTACGCAACGAACATGTCTTAATTAGTCTATGATATCATTTTCCAAAATTAGATGGTATATAAAACGTTAGTCCTCGCATAACTAATCATTCGTAGCACAGACTGTCTTCAGCGTCGCATCCATCTACATCAGGCATCGTGAGAAAGTAACATTGTGTAAAAATGACGAGTGAAAAAACTGTTTTTTACTCCTGGAAGTACGTGCACCGCAAACCCGAACAGCTACAGGAAAACACAATAATTCAATCACCGGACTGGTTTCAAAATCGGAAAGAGTGTGTGAAAGATGCTGACAATATGTTTCAGCCAGACAATGATGATACAGCCAAAAGAATAATCATCAAGAAGACCAGAACATTCCCCTTATGTGTCGACGAACTAGATGCGCACCACACGCGCAAGCACGCTGTGGAACTGCTGTCGCTCTGTTACTGCTTGGAAGTGACTAAGCTCATTTGTCAACTATCCCGAGAATTGTGCTTTGGCTGTATGTTTGAAGCAGATGGTGATCAATCCCATACCTGTCGCTTGACGGAAGAGGAACAGGTGGACAAATACTTTACAATGTCAATGAATGATCTCAAGGATGTACATGTGTTAGATCGATGGATGAGCATTTTAGCTGATGACTCATCATTGAAAGATTCCTTTAATTTTGTACCTTATCAGTGTAAAGATTATCGCAACACGTATTTCAAAACCCCAGAATGGTTTGAACAATTGAAGCGACGTGCTGTAAAAATGTTAATATTTGAAAAACATTACTCCTCGTAGTTGAAAATCCTTGACTTGTGTTAATAGCTATTCGTATGGTAGTTGAATTCACATGACTTATTCTATACAATAAAGCATGATAGTATTGAACAATGCATGTGTTTGTTAACATTGCTGTGTATATAAAGAGAGTGTGCGCAGATGGGCGGTCGCAGTTGAGTTTACCTCACGAGACAGAAACATGTCTAGTAAGTCACATGTAACACTGTCGTCGTCTCGTCAGAAAGAGTTAGAGAGCTATTACTTTAATCCCAAGTCCCCGGGTGCGTATTACGGTGCCTCCAAATTTCAACAAAGTTTAAAAAGACGTGGTAAAACGTTGGGTGTGTCTAAGGTAAAAGCCGAGTTGAGCAAGCACGATGCTTACACGCTTCATAAGTCGGTGAATCGCAAATTTCAACGTCTCAAAGTACTCGTCAACCGAGTAGATGAACAGTGGGATGTAGACCTGATGGACATGAGTCGCTATGCTAAAGTGAACGGTGGTGTACGTTACGTGCTGATAGCCATTGACATATTGTCACGCTATCTGTGGGTAGCCCCTTTGAAAAACAAGAAACCCGAGTCCATCGTTGATGGCTTTAAAGACATCCTTTCACACAGACGTGCACCTCAAAAGATCAGAGTGGACAAAGGAACGGAATTTAAAGGGACATTCAAGGATTTTATAGAGCGTCAGTCGATCAAATTGTTCGTCACTCAGAATGAAGACATTAAAGCGAATTACACCGAGAGAGTCATTCGAACGTTGAGGTCACTCATAGCGAGGTATCTGACACACAAGAACACCGAGCGCTATGTGGACGTGCTACCCGATTTAGTGTATAATTACAATCACACAGTACACAGAAGTTTAGGCGAGTGGGCTCCTGCAGATGTGAATGAACGAAATGAAGTCAAAGTATGGGGACATTTATACATGAAACCATCAGCATACATATCACACAAGTTCCGTTCCTTTCAATATAAATAGGGGATATCGTGAGAATCAGTTATTTGAGAAAACCTTTCGCTAAGGAACACAACTTGAAATGGACGGAAGAGTTATTTAAAGTAGCAGCCCGTTATCGACGACAGGGTATTCCTTTATACACACTGAAAGATTTTCACGACCAGTTCTTAAAGGGACGCTTTTACGGAGAAGAATTACAGCGTGTCGATAAAGATTTAGATGCCGCATGGGATATCGAAAAAGTGTTAAAGAAAAAGAAAGACAAAGGGAAATTGTACTATTTAGTCAGGTGGGCAGGTTGGCCATCGAGTTTCGATTCCTGGGTAGAAGCAAGGGAAGTGAAGGACAAGTAAAATGGATAAATACAACGTGTTTAACAGTGCAGACTCCCGGGAGTATTATCCGGACAACACGCCTTACCGTTTCCGGGTGAAACTGTCTCAACATTTGAAACTGGAGGGCATGTGGATGGTGGCTCTGTTAGAAATAAAACTAGGACGAGTCGAGTTGAAAGATATCAATAATACCACCATTGACGTGTTGTGTAATCCGTGCGACAGTTCACACGTGGGTGAGAATTATCTACCTTTATTGAGACGACTCGATCTGAGAGACGGACCGAATTATTATTTTCACCAGCCATGGTACTTACCCGTTATCGTGAGAGACACATCAGAAATCGAAGTGTATATAAAGTGTGCAGAAGGAACATCGCATTCATTTCTGAAAGAGACCGTGAACGTATCACTCGTGTTGCGACGGTATCCCTTTCTGACTTAAGCACAATGGAACGGAAACTGTACATTCCCGACACTAAGAAGTTTGTGGACTTTTTAGTAGATCGCAGAAGTAAGCATGAGGGTAAAACAGCTGATCAAAGGTCGACCCAGGTCGCGAATCATTCCCATCGCACCCCTAGCCAAAGTATCACCCAGCCGCTACTCTAAATTGAACGTAACAATGACGTCACCCAATCAGAACGTGGTCCAGAGAGCCATGGCGGCTCAGAAGCGAACTAAGGCTATAAAACGCAAAGCAGGAGACAAGATTGTCACATCGAAGAAAGTACGTCGCGAGGGTAACAGCTCTAAACGATCCTTCATCGAGTTTAAAGATACCCCCGCTGTCGACCCCAGAGACATCTTCAACCAGTAACCATGTCGGTACTGACGGAGAAAGAGTTTACCGAAGCCCTGCCAAATAGCTTAGATTTATTCGAACTGCCACCCTATCAAACCAGCATCCTTCAACATTACTACGAGAACGTAAGGCCCCTGTCCGTCATCACCGATTCCAGTCCGGTG